ACTCCAAAACCAGGCATGCAGTCGAAGCAATTTCTAGCAGATACAAATTGTTCATGAGAAAAAGGCACAAAGAAACTATAGTCATGATGGAGCAAGAGACACTGTGAGCTCTTTCTGTTCTGCTTAATCCTATTTGGATTATTTCAGACACACTCAAAGAGTCAGCTGCTTATACTTTGTAATAGTGTATGAAGTTGCTTGAGGAATGTAAAGAGACCTACCTGGGAAACAAAAGTATAGAAATCTTCAGAAACAGTTCAGAACAGAGCTGCTTCCTGCAGTTAGGAGCAGGCTCTAATTTGTTTGCTGGTAGATGGATATCATGACAAGAACAAAAAAATAGTGTATTTTGATAATCAAATACTCCTTACAGTGTCATGAAGAATTATGCATCTAGCACTGTGGTATTTGAGTTCTGGGGAGACTTTACAGCAGCCTTCCAGTACCTAAAGGGACTCTACAGGAAGTCTGGAGAGGGGCTTTTTACAAGGGAATGTGGTGACAGGACAAGGGGTAATGGCTTTAAACTGAAAGAGGGTAGGTTTGGATTAGATATTAGGAAGAAATTCTTCACTATGAGGGTGGTGAGGCATTGGAACAGGTTGTCCGGAGACACTGTGAATGCCCCATCCCTGCAAGTGTTCAAGGCCGGGCTGGATGGGGCTCTGAACAACCTGGTAGAATGGAAGGTGTCCCTGTCCATGGCAGGGTAGCTGAAACTCGATGACCTTTAACATCCTTTCCAACCCAACCGTTCTATGATTATACGATCATATAACACCCTAAATAGCAAACTATCATCTGCTACTTGTTAATCTGTCTTTGTCAAGTCAAGGAAGAAACTGTGAGAAATTTCTTCAAAATTCTTTTTCTTTTTGTGCAATTCAGTGTGGGAGCTTTTTTAGTGGAAGTGAATTCAAAAGAAATGAACCTTTGCACTTTGAAATCTTTAGAGGCATTTAAGATAGCCCAAGTCAAACAGAACTATAGATCTAAGGCACTTGTCTAATGTAAATGTAAATATTAAGAACTCAAAAATCTTTGAAGTCTATTAAGGTTAAAGCTAGACAAAAGCATATAGTGTAGACTTACAATTCAATGACTAATATATACACATAACATTTCAATAAACTAAACTGAGTCACTCTGAAAAGTAACATATAATCTACAAACATCAATAGAAACCCGAGACCTGCATAGCAAAGCCCAGGGAAATTGTTTTTCTTCCCAAGTCTGATCTTGGCCTTGCTGCTACAAAGATGCTGCCAATTCATACTTCCAGTTTCAAATCAATATTTTCAATGCTTTTGGACAGGGAAACATGTTGACAAATCAGTGGTGAATCACTTCATTTTCCACACTCTTCTGTGCGTGTTACTGTGGGTTATTTATGAATTTCAAATTACAAATGTAGGGTTTGTCTGCAAAGGGACACTGAGTCTGAATAAGCTGAAGAAGTGGTATTAGAAAGGAGTTAAATGTTGTTAAAGTCCTCTTGAACCTTTTAATTCAGAATAAAACCTGAAATTTTAACTTAGATAAATGGAGTAAATGGCTGCAGAATTAATTAAACCCATCATAACTCTGAACCAAGCCATCCACACAGGGGTTGAATGTGTATTTACCTAGTTTGTGACTGAACCAGCAGACATTAACACATCCATATAAGCAAGTTCTTAAAACAACAAACATGCCAGCTCTCAGCACAGCTCCATGGCACCCACTGCAGCGGCAGCTCCATCCCGGCTTCCCTGGAGCGGCTGCCGGGCAGGTCTGGGCGTGTGGGCAGGCAGCACAGGGCCCCTGCGTGGCGCCTCAGACAGAGGCAATGGCTTCAGAAAAAAGAAAAACAACTTTACTTGGCTTAGCTATGCAGGTCTTGGGTTTCTATTGACGTTTGTACGTTATATATTACTTTTCAGAGTGACTCACTTAAATTTATTGAAATGTTAGATGTATTTCACTGAGTCAGCACAGCATCCTGGACTGAGCAGATGTGGCTGGTATATACGAACCTGAACTTTGCTCAAAACAGTGAAGGAAAACTGGAATTGTTTTAAAGCTTTCCTCTGACAGTGCATTTGAACTGCGGGTGTGCTAACCTGTTTGGACTGTTTCCAACCATTAAAAAAAAATCCTACTAGTCCATTCAATCTCAAAGCTCGATTTTCCCACCTTAGTTTCCCCAAAACTCTGTTGTATCAAACAGAACAACATGACCAGATTAGTGTTCGTGATCATACTTCTTTTTCATCTCTCAGTACAGGTTGTAATGTATAAATAATATGGACCTATCGTGTGAAAACATTGGTTTAATCCAATACTTTTAAGCAGCAAAAAGTAATCCATAAAAAAAGATGTGTATCTGAGTTAAAACCAGGAATCAGCTTGGAATAAATAATAGTAAGAAAAATTCTTTAGAATTCACCCCAAACTCAAGGGCCACTTGCTGTTGCTAGAACCAGAAGATGCCACCTATACTCTGGTGTACGCAGCTTCTTAAAATGCACTCACTGTTACTTTCCCTCATCATTACCATTCACACAAGTTAAAGCACTGGTGGGTAATTTTTAATTTATGATCATTATACTGCAGAATGTATATGTCATTGCCATTAAAAGGTACAGCTACAAGGTCATTCCATACAGGCAGATTTTGCTATATCAGAAGTACTCAGGTCACATTTTGAATGCTTCTTCACACACAGGCAGGCTAGAAATATGTAAATGGAAACATAAGACAGTGAAACTACAGGTGAAGCTACAATAGAAATTATTGTTTAACTGTATCACTGCAAATCCCATGAACTCAAAAGCATAAAATTAAACACCAAAGGGTCTTAATGAAACCTCAAATCCAGATTTACATTTGAATCCCTGCCTCAGTTGATGCCATATGTAATTGAACAGTCTCAAGCAATAGACTGGCCCATGCTCCCTGAATTTTTAAGAAAAACTGAACTTGCAGCTTATTGCATCCCAGGCCCTTTTCTGCAGTCAGTTTAGTTCTTTTTTCATGCACACTCCTGCACTCTGTGTGCACCCATAATGATATAACTGAAGCTGCAGGATGTTGAAGAAGAAAGGCAAAACCAGGTCCAAAACCACTTAACTGATCACCAGGCCGAACCTAAAAAGGACAAATTGAGCAGACAGAATCACATTAAATATATTGCACGTTTCCCATAATAAAACTACACTGGAAAATCAAGCTTGTTTTTTTTGACCATTAATATAATTATTATTTTCAACATACCAAATTTGGAATTAGATCAAGACACACAACCATGTATTTACTTGGGGAGAATAATGATGTGCTTAACAATCACAGAGGCAATTATGTTTGGCAAAAATAAATGTTTTTAAAATCTGCTTGAATCAAAAGATCAGTTTCAATACATATTTATTGAAATGGAATCTGAAAAAGAAATAATCCCTCCCGCTACAACTTCGACCCACCAACCTGAAGCTAAAACAGTCTGGATAGTCTTGTAGGGATGCTCCAGAGCATGGAAGTAGGGAATAATATTATCCACACGAACTGACGTTGCTAAAAAACGCAAATGGGGAATGCAGTGGGAAGTGGCTCATTTGCCCACAGAAGGAAATCTCTTTGCTTGGTTTCCATAGAGAGGAAAAAGAAATTTTCCTAACCTTGAGATTTCCGGCAGGTCAGTACAGTAGGGCAGTTGCAGGCGTTTCGCTCATGGAGGAGTCACCAGCAGAAGGCCGGTTAGATATGTCTCACTCTGTTTGTTTATCATACGTAATCCTGGTAACCAGTTGCTGAGATATAGACTTCCACAGTTAATCAAACACTTGCTGTCATGCTCATGACTAATGTAACATAAAATATTTGTTTTCCTGATGTAAAACATCTTCTAATGGCAAATATCATCTAATGAAGCACAGCGATGCTAAGGTCAGGGACACCAAGACCACAAAGCAAAGAGGTTGCCTCCTGTCAATAGGAGGCCAGTTGGGCTGCCAGCCATGGCTGTCTCAGCCTTCCCCCTCCAGGCTGGTAGAGTGTATCCTGAGACATCCCTATCTGTCCTTTGCATTCAAATGAGACAGTTCTGATCAGATTCAGTGCAAATATACCACAACTCACATAGAGGTCCTTTTGCTTTCACAATGGAGAATAACTTAGGAAAAGAGCTCAGAAAGGTCTCTGAGTCCTTGCTTAACTTGTTAGAAAATCCAGTACTTTTGATTCACATGGTGGAAAAGAGACAGTCACAGAAGCAAAAGGAAGAGCAAAGTGCACAAGGCTGACACAGTGCCCTGTGAGCACAGTGTATTATGCTCATAACCAGTGCCCATCCTGCTGTAGTACACTGAGTCCTATCCAGGGAGCTGCGGAGACAAGGAGAAGGCAGGGGAAGGCAGTTTAGAGGAGTCAGGGTCGAAATTTGTGGCAGGTCAACATGAGAAACTGACACTTGAATGGAGTGATGGAAGGCACAGAAAAGGCTGAGATAGTTTATGAAGTAAGAGATGATACAGTATATATTGCTGTTGGAAAAAAGGACTGCAGAAAGCAAGTATTACAAGTCTATTCCTGCAAAACCTGTCTGCTTTTTCTCCATGGGGAAATTGAGTTGTCTAGGCTGAAGGTACTTGCTTTGGATAGTTGTCTTTCTTTTCTCAGTAGTCTACCTTATATTTCAATATCTTTATTAAGCCTGAAAACTTTGTATTGTAGATAAACTTATGGCAGACTTGCATAAAGCAAGCAAAAGCATAACCAGGAGAGCCTGGTTATGATGCGCGTTCACACATGCACCCTGACATGGCGTAGTACTTTCTCCTACAGAAAATCGATCCTGATCCTGGTATCTGATTATTTTCCCCAAGCTGTGCTGTTATCCTCATTGCAAACCCTCTGTGCCATCCCAGCTGCCATAAAGCAAAGAGAGTCCATAACCTCCTTCTGTGTTGACAGGTACGAAGGTGGATTAAGAGCCCGATGGTCAACGTTGAAAAGCACCCACATACCAGCCTCAAATACCCGGGGTCCACTGTGATGCATTTACCTCCAGGAGATTCGGAGCTTGAGCCTCCACTCTGCCAGACCTGCCTGAACGACCACGCTTTCCAGCGAGGGATCGCTCCTCAGGAGGCTGAGTCCTGCTCCTGGGAGAGTCAGAGAAACAGCAAAGTAAGCCACAATTTCCTTCCACCAAACTTTGTTTACACGGTTTACACTGATAATGGGTCTGTACTTACAATGGGTCTGTACTTATGAGATGGTGCTTCCCTTGAAGAGAGGGGATTCTCTGAAACCTGAAACTCTGCTGACCAAGGCTGTGGTGCACATCTGGGCTCTGCTTTCTACCTTGAACTTGGATACCTATGAAAAACAAAGGACTCTTCACTAAGGTGTTGTGATGTACTCTCACAGTATTTGAACAGATTAGCAGTAACAATAAGTATTATTTACCTGTTTTGCATAAACAGGTGTGGATAGGTGCTAAAAAGGATCCAGACTTGCTAATTTTTTCCCTTCTGTCCCACAATTACCAGGCTATCCTTCTTCCTCCCCCCCAAGCCATATCTAGCTTTCTCTTTAGAAGTCAGAATTTGGCTCAAGGAGTTTTCCATGACAGGAGGTGAGTGATTCAGCAGTGTTTTTAGCAGAAGGGAAACCCTGTTTTGCCCCAGGTTATGTCAGTATGTTATAAATTACATCGTTTTGCGTGCCGTGGTGGGCAGTTGCACACAGATGTGAAGGTGGCAACACTGTGAGGGCTGAGATGAAATGGTCAAGAAGGGGCTTTTCAGAGGCAGACTTTGTATCTTTCTTTCATCGTTCACCTCCACCTAATCCCTGTGGAGACAAGCCAAATGCAGAACAGAAAGTTTTGCTCAGAGCCCGCTATCCCTGACAAAATTATCCCTGCCTGAAAATGGTGCACAAAAAAGGAGACAGTTGTAGAAACATAAAAGCAAACAAATAAGAATCTTTCCAAGTACAAAGCAGAGGAAATGTGACAAGGCATTTATCAGAGACAGCACACAGCTCAGAGCAGAAACATTTTTCAAGCTGCATCTGCTGCATTTTTAAATGGGGAAATTCAAGCAGCAGGTAGAAATGGAAGTCCTGTGTGCTTCTTAAACCCAACAAAGGCATTTTGGTGAAACATGTGCAAGCGGAGGAGCTAATTACTCCTCCATTTTACTTCATTAAGAAGATTAATTTTGCTCAGGCTGAAGCATTAAAAAATGAAAGCACCAAAGACGGTGGATTCTGCAAATCCTTTGCTTGCTGTAAATCACATGTACTCCTGTACAGCCGTAGGGCCTCACAACTGATTTCTATTAGGTTTTACATGCATATGGGATAGATTTGGCTGAATGCAGATTCCACTGGACCTCTCTGTCTCCTTACTGCAGGCAGTGGAGAGGCTGCTTACTCAGCAGGAGGAGTCTGCAGCAAGAGGGATATTTTGCACGCTGCTTTAAAAACGTTGTTGTCTGGCAAAAGACTTCTTGGATAGAGCTATCCTGCATAAGGGGTCTTTTAAGCAAGTTCAAGCACACAGTCCTTGATGTGATTAAATGTAAGGTCACTGTCTCTTTCTCTACAGTAAAACCAGGCAGGAAGCTTTTAATAATAAAGTCTGAAGGAGTTCTGTGTCTGACCTTTTCAAGGTTTAAAGAGAGTTTCTGGGTGAGACTCTGTTCAAGGGTTACAAATGGCACAAACTGCATAAACATGAAATAACTCCCTTGACTTTAAATCAATGAACTTGAACAGACAGTTCCGTATTTCAAGAAGAGAACATGGTCTCTGTTAAATCAGCAGGGAGCTTGGAATGTGCCAGTCGTCTCTCCTAACTAATTCTTGTTTCTTTTTCCCCATTACTCTTCCTCTCTGTTTTCCAGTACTGCAACCAGGTACTGGTATAGTGATTATAGTTCCTTTGTGCTGTGTCCAACACCAACACATACAAGGGTCCTCCTGACACTGTTCTTTTGCTCAAGGACAAATTAACTCAAAAACAAATCAGCTGTGAAATGTTATTAAAGGCTTATTCTGGCAACAATCTTTCTCTGACAGGTTTCAGGCTACTCTGATTGGCTTGAAAAAGGTCTTATAGAAACCAACCTGATTAAAACCCATCACCAAAGGGAACACGTCTGTATTCCTATTCTTATTTCCAACACAGAACAACGGAAAAAAATCATTACTGTTTGTTTACTGTGATGGTAATTATGTAGTGAAGTCTTTAAAAATTGACTTAGTGTAAATAAGATTATATTGAAACTAAAAGTATTTTAAATAACGAGATTTTTTTCTTATGATATGCTTTCATTTCCACCTCCCCAGGCTTTTCTATTAAGGCATGTGTCAGGTGGAGTTTATAAAAATGATTACTGATGTAACCTCTACTAAGTCTTCTCTATTATTTGTATGATAGTGTATTATGTCTGTATTTTTATGATATTTTTTCCGCATTCTATACACTGGACTAGAAAATTTTCAAACATTGCCAGAAAATCATGCTAATTTTCACATGACTGACTTACATAGGTATATTATTGTTTTTTGTAACCGATGTGGATTAGTTATATGGAAGCTTATATCTGCTCTACTAGTGTAACAGCTGAAGCCCTAAAGGCTTTGGACCACTGCCAAGGTAATGATTTACAATAACCAGTCCTCGCTTTTCCATGTCTATCTACATAGTTCAGGTTGCACAAAATTCACTGGCTTGATAAAGAGGGTAAATTTCCTTTCAAAATAAATTATCATGCTGTGTAATGAATACCTTGTGTAAATAAGCTGGTTTTGAAAAAGCAGACAACCCATCTTTTAGAGTTACATTACAGTCTACTAAATAGAGAGAGGCTAACATGGTGAAAACTGGGTGTGATTTAAATCTTTCAGGTGAGGGTTTACCAGGCTAGGTTATTAGACATAAATCATACATACATACACAAACACACAAAATTTTTTCATACTCTGCATGACCTGTGTATTCTATTTGCACTGTATTTTTGTGCCCTTGTTTCAAATATTTCTGTAAATAAACAAAAGATAAGACCTTGTTAGTGAGCTCAAAATATCTTTCTTTTTTTCTCAAATGGAGCCAAGAGCTAGGTTCAAGGCTTGTTCTGTTCTTTCCTCATTGTCAAAAAAAACTCCAGTTGCCCTATCCATCAGCTGACATTTGTCCTGAAGCATCACAGACACATCTCTATCTAGTAAACCAAAGCCTTAAATGTCTAGAGCTGTCTTTTCTTTCCAAAGCTAAACAAAACCCCTGTGCTGCCCCTAGCTAAGGGACGAGGGGAAGGAAAGAGTGAACTAATGCGTTTACCCCATTTAAGCAACATGATTTCAAATTGCCAGGAGCATGTCTGTGCATTCAGTACAGCCACCACTGCACGACTCGGGGCTCAGGGGTGCTGAGCGGGGCATTTAGCCCCATTAGCCCCAGAAGGGGTCTGTCCCCACATATATAGTGGATTTTAGTCTCTTCACCCTCTCTTATCACCTCTGTGGGGCAGGTGGTGGAAAAGAGATGGAGGCTGCTGAGGCAGTTGCCCTGTCTTCCTACACCCACGGCAGTCCATCTATCCATAGTGTCTTCTGTGAAGGAGCATTAGGAAAATCTTTCTTAGGGCTGCAGGGAATTCAATGCTCCTGTCTTTTTGGACAAGTCCCTTGTAGCTTAGTGGAAGTTAATTACTCTCATAGACACTTTTTGGATCGTGTTATTAAATCAACAACAGGAATTTTATTTTATTATTGAAAGTCATTCAAAGCTCCTATGTGTAGAAGAGCTCTTGATTTTGGTCAGATTTCAGCACTTTACCATATTTTAAGTCTTGCTTCAGGGATGAGGAATACTGAAAAAAATATACCCAAACCAAAGGTTGGGCAATTATTTGAGATAGTTCTACTAACAAATCTCTCCTAAAAATAACACACAGCTTCTAGAAACCTGCATTTGAAATGGGGTGAGAATATGCTTCAGATGAAATACATTTCATAAAGGGGTATAACAAAAATAAATACCTTTTAATGGACTAAGAAAATGTGGAGATGAAAAAAAATACCTAACTCTCCATAAAGAAAGAGTTTGGTGACAGATCTGAGTGGGCTTTTTAGGGAAAGATGGTTTTCTCACACATTTTGGATAAAAAACCCTCCTACATCTAATGATCTGCTCTGGTAATGAGGCACTCTGTGATTTCCACCCTGATAAGTGCTAGTTAATACACAAACACATGCACATACACAACAGAGAAATGAAAATCCTGAAAGCCCAGTATGGCACAATTACTCCTGAAACCAATATATGTGAAAAGTGCTGCAATAAAAGATAATTTGGAGAAGAAAATTAGAAATAAGAAAAAAAGAAAGTTTGGGTAACAGAATTGTTCAGTGAAATCAAATCTGGAGAGGACTGTGAGAGGCTCTAATAAACCTAGGCAAATTAACAACCTGATGGAAGATTATCCCTGATACAGACAGAAACACAGTAATGTTCTTTGATGGAATAATTATAACTACTCAGTACACACTACAGGGTCTAGAATTAACCGTGATTGTTTTAGAAGACAGCCCTGGGTGCCACAGAGAGTAGCTTACTGAAGACCTTGGCTCAGAAGAGTAGCTTAAGACGTTAATCCCTCACAGCAAAGCAGACACTCTATGCATTCATTTAGGAGTATAGCACTCCATCCACCGAATCTACTTCTGTCCCATATGGAGGCACCTGGGGAAGGACGTGAAATATACTTGATGTGGGTGAGGACAGACCAGCAATACCAGGGCGACAAATGCCTGGAAAAGGCCTTGCAGGTCAAATTACATCATTTTTTGCTTCATCTCTATAATGAAATCCACTTTGAAGTGGCTGGCAGAGATCCTGTTAAGTAGAATCCTTTGGAAAGAGGTTGTCAAGGAGCAAAGGACAGATGAAGAGGCCAATGGTCCCATGAGCCTATAGCTCAGGCTGACATTGGTGTGTGAGCCTTGTTGTCTTGCTGGCATCTCCCCATGCAGTGATTCAGGAAAGACTTATGAAGATTATCTTGATGAGTTTTGGCTTCTATTTTGTCCCTTCTTGTTATTCTTCCAGGGAAAGCTGCTGACAGGGAAAAAACCCCATATAATTAAAATCATTCCAGAAAAATTATGGTGCTTTATTTGCCTGCTCCTTTGCAATAATGAATGCAGAAATAGGTCTGGAAAGAAAAAAATTAAAAGCAATTAAAAAGTTTCCATTTAAGCCAACGTAGAGCACAGAAACAATGAGAAAATCTTGTATGTGGTATAAAAGACTGAAAATTATAAGAAGACTTTAAATGTAAAAGTTACACAGATGTGAAAATGTCTGCCAAAACAGAAAAGTCAAACTTATTTACTGGTTGAATTTTAATATATTCATGTGTAGGATGTTCCTGCCTTTACACCTGCTTACTCCAGATTTCAGAGTATATTTTGTTATGCCCCCTAAGACTGGAGGATGGGGGCTTATCCCCCTGAGTTTGGGAACTACATCTTGTATTCAAAAAAGTGACATACAGAGAGGTAATCTATCATGTAACCCTGTTTTCACTGCTCAATGTTATACTGACAAGAATACTTGCAACGTAATCCAAAGGAAGATGTTAAAACCAGTAAAGGAAATCATTCTATACCACACGTAAGTTAGCCTGAGAATCCACAACCACTGGAACTCCACAGTTTCTGTTTGATTATTTTTCAAATAAAAGTAAACCCAGTCATCATATTCTGCTCCAGAAATATATTACAGCACTGTCTGAAGATTAAAGAGAGTTTCAGAGAAGCAAGTGGTTCAAGATGAGTAATTAGAACAGTAAAGAAGGTATTTTGTACTTCTCTTCATTCAGCAACTTCTGGTTGTAGAAGGTCTGCATTTTCTGGATCATCACAAGTCAAAGTTGTAG